CCTAACAATGACATACAAGTACCCATTACTTTAATCAGTAAGAACAACCTAACAATGACAAACAAGTACCCTTTACTTTAGCTAGTTGGGAACAACCTAACAATGACATACAAGTACCCATTACTTTAGTTAGTAAGAACAACCTAACAATGACAAACAAGTACCCTTTACTTTAGCTAGTTGGGAACAACCTAACAATGACATACAAGTACCCATTACTTTAGTTAGTAATAACTACCTAACAATGACATACAAGTACCCATTACTTTAGTCAGTAAGAACAACCTGACTGTGAAAAAAGTGCCATTTACTCTAATCAGTAAGAACAACCGAACAATGACAAACAAATGCCCTTTACTTTAGTTAGTAATAACTACCTAACAATGACATACAAGTACCCATTACTTTAGTCAGTAAGAACAACCTGACTGTGAAAAAAGTGCCATTTACTTTAATCAGTAAGAACAATTTAACAATGACATACAAGTACCCATTACTTTAGTTGATAAGAACAACCTAACAATGAAAAACAAGTACCCTTTACTTTAGTTAGTAAGAACAACCTAACAATGACATACAAGTACCCATTACTTTAGTTAGTAAGAACAACCTAACAATGACATACAAGTACCCATTACTTTAGTTAGTAAGAACAACCTAACAATGACAGACAAGTACCCATTACTTTAGTTAGTAAAAACAACATAATAGTGACAAACGTTACCCTTTACTAACTCTAGCAATATGTCACAATCATCAGGTTATGTTTTTAGCCTGTGTGTATAGTTTTAAATGATTTGATGTTTTGCGTTTAGACAGCTACTACACGCGGCCAACATGAGGCTTGTTTAGTCGTATATTTTCATCTATAGACGAAATATGTTCAATCTATCTTACTAAATTCTGCCATAACTACTGTACTAAATTCTATCACAACAATCTTACTAAATTCTGCCATAACTACTATACTAAATTCTGTCATATCTATCTTACTAAATTCTGCCATAACAATCCTACTAAATTCTGTCATAAATATCTTACTAAATTCTACCGTAACTACTGTGCTAAATTCTATCACAACAATCTTACTAAATTCTGCCATAACTACTATACTAAATTCTGTCATATCTATCTTACTAAATTCTGCTATAACTACTATACTAAATTCTACCATAACTATCTTATTCAATTCTACCATAATTATCTTACTAAATTCTATCACAACTATCTTACTAAATTCTGCCATAACTATCTAACTAAATTCTAACATAACTATCTTACTAAATTCTAACATAACTATCTTACTAAATCCTATCACAACTATCTTACTAAATTCTACCAAAACTATCTTACTAAATTCTACCATAATTATCTTGCTAAATTCGGCCATAACTATCTTATTAAATTCTACTGTACCTATATTACTAAATTCTACCATAACTATCTTACTAAATTTTGCCATAACCATCTTACTAAATTCTACCATAACTATCTTATTCGATTCTACCATAACCATCTTACTAAATTCTACCATCACTTTCTTACTAAATTCTACTATACCTATACATTACTAAATTCTACTATACCTATATATTACTAAATTCTATCATAACTATCTTACTAAATATCACTCATTTGGTAGAAGAAGAAATTCTAGAAATATATATATTTCCAATATATATTGGCTGATCAATAGTAAGACTTAGGGCTTATAACGCTAAAAATTAGGTTTCGATATCCGCGGTGGTAGTGCACATTGTATATCTTTGTGCTTAACAATAAGCAAGCAAACAAAAATATATAAACATGTATTAAATATGAATTAGCATTTCCTGAAATTTCAGTAATATGTTCCAACTAAGTTCTAGATTGTTCCAACGTCCTCAATTGTCTGTAAAAAAAAAAATTAAGGACATTTTTGTGTACGAGTAACTGAGTTGTAAAAATGGATTTGCAAGTTTTATAAAGGCGAGGCCTCCAACAAAATGACAAAGCAATAACCACGACAATACTTTCATTGTTATGACGTGTAAAGAAATAAAAAGTAAAGTGAAAGTAAGAGGTAAAATAAAATATTGACCTGGCATAATGAATATTCTTAATTACTGGATTGATACCCACATTAATCGAAACTTTTTCAGTTATTCATAATATAAGCTAAGTCACGAACCCCAAATCCTGTTGTGAAATTTCTGTAGACGAAGTAAATTATTTTTAAAAATAACTGGTCTTAAACTAAAGTTTTACTGAGTTGCTATGATTATAAGATAATGTTGTGATGAAATGGTTTTCGAGCATGACCTAAATATTTCCTTTTCTTGTCCAACTTTATTAAACTTCTATTATTTCAAAAAATTGTCTGTTAGTTTATTCTGTAGCCTAACTTTTTTGAATCTTTTACATATTTATAACACGTCTAACATTACAACCCTTTAGCCGTTTAGAGCAATGTATCTCCATCTTTTAATTCTCGAAAATTCTTAAGGAACCAGATGAAAAATGTAGAGCTCAAAATATAAGTGGCCTAATACAGATGTCTTATAACAAGTATGATTAGTAAAAACATCATTGTTTCTTGAAGTGTAATTAATCATGTTAAAAGTAATAATTACGTAAGCGTTACGTATAGTGCCGCCATCCAGTAACAGCAAATAATACTATACATCTCATGTGGTGAACAGAATAAGACACAAATCTAACAAATTATTTTCAAGTAAATATATCGTAAGCTATCTGCATGGTGGCGTCATCTATAACCAGAAAATAACATCTTGGTCATAAAGGATCAGCTCTCTATTCAACTGGTCAAT